GGGTATTCGCCAGGTGGAGCCTCGGGGTGAGTGGGCGAGTCCTTGATGGAGGGGGTCTCGRCGGTGTCGCGGGGGAAATGTTGGGACAGTACGGCTCCGATGGCGAAGTCGGAGGCGTCAGTGGTGACATAGAAATGGCGAGTGGGGTCGGCGATCTTGAGGACAGGGGCCGTGGTGATGGTTTGCTTGAGTAAGTCGAAAGCTTGTTGGCGGCGATCGTTCCAATGGAAAGGCTCGTCCTAGCGGGTGAGTTCGTCTCGAAAAAGTTGCGAATGAACGGGCGGTAATAGTTGGCAAGGCCAAGGAAGGAACGGAGTTGGAGGAGGGTCTTGGGTGGGGGGTACTCGACGAGGGCTGTGACCTTCGAGGGGTCCATACGGATGCCTTCAGTGGAGACGATATGGCCGAGGTATTCGACGCTCGAAGCGGCAAACGTACATTTGTTGAGCTTGGCGTAGAATTTTTGCTCTCGGAGGATCGCGAGGACTTGGCAGAGGTGTTGAAGGTGGGACTCGAAGGTGGGGCTGAAGACAAGGATGTCGTCAAGGTAGACAACGACACAGACTTCGAGGAGGTTGCGGAAGATGTGGTTCATGGTGGATTGGAAGGTAGCGGGGGCATTGGTGAGTCCGAATGGCATCACGAGGAACTCGTAGTGCCCGAACCGAGAGTGGAAGGCGGTCTTGTGGGTGTCCTCCTTGCGGATACGGATCTGGTGGAAGCCACTACGAAGGTCGATCTTGGTAAAGTACTTGGCTCCACGGAGACGATCAAGGAGCTCGGAAATCCGAGGTAGGGGGTACTTGTTCTTGATCGTGATCCGGTTCAAGGCGCGGTAGTGTGTGCACATGTGGAGTTTCGAAGTTCCACCTTTCTTGACGAAAAGGCAGCTGGTTACGAAGGGGGATGAACTTGGCTTAATGAACCCTTTTTCAAGGATTATACCGAGTTGCCTTTTCATTTCTTCGGCTTCGGAGACAGAGAGTTGGTATGGAGGGCGGAGAATGTCCGGGTTCCAGATCAATGGTATGCGATACGCCACGATCCGGAGGTAGTCCGGCGGGTAAGGACTCGGGAAAGACGTCCCTGAACTCGTCGAGGATTGAAGTGATGGCGGGGTTGGAGGGCGGGGCTTGATCGGGTTTGTCCGTCGGGAGTAAGTCCTCGGGACTTTCGCGATCAAGGACAAGACAGTAGTAGGCGGAGTCGGGGTTTAGGCGAGCCATGTGGAGGAATTGGTGCGGGGTGACAGAGCCTTGGGAGGTCGGATATGGGAGATAGGGGATGTCGATGGTTGTGTCGGGGGGGTTGGTGAGGCGAAGAAAGTTGGGGTGGAATGTGTATGGCATGTAGCGGTCCAGCCACGGGGTTCCTAAGACGATGTCGCACATCAAGTGCATGACATCAAACGAGACCTGACTGCGGAGGGTTCTGACGGTCATGATGGTCTCGGGAACCGTGCGGTCTACTACGACGGCGGTGTCTTTGTCCCCTAGGCGAATCGTGATCGGGGAGTCATAGCCGGTAGAGGTAAGACCGGCTTTGCGGACACACGCGTCGGTGATGAAGTTACCGGTGGCTCCAATGTCGAGGAGGTCTCGGAACTTAGTTGTAGACGCACCAAGGGTGGCAGCGATGAGTTTGAGGTGGAAACGAGATGAGTTGGCGGTGGAGATGATGGTGTTGAGGCGGCGTTGTTCGTTGCCTAAGCGGGCAGGCCGATCGTGTCGGACTTGTTCCTCAACAACATCGGAGAAGGTGATAGTGGATGCATTTGGAGGAAGGGTAGAGGAGCATGAGGCAGTGGGAGGTGTTTGCGATGCCTGGGAATCGTCCGGTGGAGGGGGCGTCGCTGGAGAGGGGGAAGGCAAACGAGTCGTCGATGTCAGATGGACCATCGGTGCGACGAAGGATGTCACTGATGGGTAGGGTGACAGATGCAATGTTGATGTCGGGTCAATGTCCTGGGGACTGTGTTCATGATGAGGAGGGGCCCGCGCTTGCCGAGGGCGGTGATGCGGAGGTTGCGGGTCGTGTGGAGGCGGACTGACGGGTGAATCGTGCGGCGTTGGGGCAGTTGGTTTGTTGGTGCCCCAATTGGCGGCAACGGAAGCAACCCCCTTTTGCTTGGAGGTAGGTGCGCTCCTCGGGGGTGAGTTTCTTGAGGCGGGAGGG